ATAATTAAATTAAATAAAATTATTCTAAAGGTATGTATTTATCCCCTATGTACCCAGACTTCGTGGACTCCCTGTGCTGTCATCCCTTCTAAGATCCTCAAGCGATTAGGCCACTTAATGTGGTAGTGGGGAGACGGCTATGGTGGAGTAAAATTGCGCATAATGTGAACATGCAATAAACCGACTGCGCTATTGGTGGGACAGGGGTCAAAGACTAATTTGGTAAACATTAGCAGTCAGAAAAAAGAAAGCTATGTTGTAAGGCACAGACCGTCGAGGTTGTGAACAAACGACCAACCAGAAAAATGCGATGCATTTGCAAGGAAAAATCAGCAAAAGCCTGTGAACATATGACTGTATTTGCAAATACTTGGAGCAGAAATATAGACGCAAAACAATGTAAATCCCGGCTTATATGAGAAGCGCAGGCGTGAAAAACAAAAGAACTGGTTGTGCGATTAGTCAACGTGCATGTTCGTACATAAAGAAAATGAGGCATAAAACGCAGAATATAGTAAGAAATGCAGGAACGTTGGCAGATCATATGTATATGTATGAGTATAGGACGTAATAAGTAGAAAAACAAGGCGCTGCCGGGAAGCGCAAGTATTAGGCATAAAAAAGTAAAAGTCAAGTAAAGTAAGTAACACAGCCGAGATACGCGCGGGAAAGGGTGTCGGTGACAAGACGGCATTGACACTGATCAGGGCTGAAGGCAGATTGAAACAGGCATACATAACATCAGATTCCGGGATATTTTGGCATGACGAGGGGGTCAAGAGCGAAGTATTTGTGGTGCAGATCTCGCATACGGTTGTGAGCGGCCACTTGTCGACTGGCCTCCTCCAGATTTTTTTGAAATTTGCGTATGTGAAAATGAGGATAAGGCGAAACGAGGAAGGATAACAGGTAGCAGACAACTAGACGGCAAGAGAGCGCATGGGAGTCAGAATCATGCATGATAATGTAAACGTTGGATGCATAAATGACCGTCTTGTCCCCTCACCGCCAGCTATTAGAAACTACATCCAACACCCCTGCCTTCCTATCAGGGCTTATGCACTATCCTGGTCACGGGTTGGACATGAGTGTCTGGTTGAAAACACTAGATTATAAATGTTTAGGGAAAGGTGAGAATACTCTGGTTTTCAGAAGAAAAGGATTTCTAAGTAACGTGGGGTGAGAGCATGGTAAGGAAAAGATTAACGAAGAAATGGGTAGCGGACACAAATGTGACCTTATGCTGAATTACCGGAAACATGGAGAATCAACTGCTGACCTATGGACAGAGTCAGGAAACTTTAAACGAAACTAAGCAGAGATTTAACGAAAAGACTAAACGTAAGCCCAGCACCGACAAATAAATGGAACGGGTAAAAAAGATGGAGCGGCATATAAGGTGGACACGGGCCGGGAGCATATGAAAAGGAGCCTGTGACGATAATGTCAGCATAGAGCAGACGATGAAAGAAAATTTACAGGAGAGGGAGGTAAAGCGCATGAACGGCGGAAGGAGAGGAGGCTAAAAGGATGAGGGGAAGAAGGATAAGGGAGCAGGGGATTGAAGAAGGGAGGGAGGGAGGGAGGAGGAGGAGTTGGGTGGAGAGACGGTAGAAACTACGCCTAATAAATAGAAGGAAAAAAGATACGGAATGAAGGAAAAATACGACGAGAATGTCAAAAGAGAAGGTATAAT